CTTTTAATTTCTATATCACCGCTATATTGCAAAGATTCCGAAAATCATAACCACCAACAGTCTAGATCTGAATCTAAATCTAATATGATCTTCGTAGTAACATATTCCATCCTTGAAAATAATAATACGCTCCCGTACGAATTGGATTTTCACAAACAGATAAAGACTTTTAATTACTATATCAGCTATATTGCAACGATTCAGAACATCATAACCACCAATAGTCTAGATCTAAACCTAAATCTAATATGATCTTCGTAGTAACATATTCCATCCTTGAAAATAATAATACGCTCCCGCACGAATTGGATTTTCACAAACAGATAAAGACTTTTAATTACTATATCAGCTATATTGCAACGATTCCGAAAATCATAACCATCAACAGTCTAGATCTAAATCTAATATGATATTCTATCCTTGAAAATAATAATACGCTCCCGTACGAATTGGATTTTCACAAACAGATAAAGCCTTTTAATCAGTTATATTGCAACGATTCCGAACATCATAACCATCAACAGTCTAGATCTAAGCCTATATCTAATATGATATTCTATCCTTGAAAATAATAATACGCTCCCGTACGAATTGGATTTTCACAAACAGATAATATGTTATGAGAGTGGAAAGCAAACGGATTTATACATAAGTATGTACTATAAATCAATCCGTTTCGGAACAGAATTAAATTCAAAGTAGGATCAGTGGAAACATTTCACAATACAGAACCGAAGAGCAAGAAACCGAAATTAAATGCAAGGCACTAGGAATTTAGTTCCTCCAAGACGATAGAATCTATTCTATTTCAGATCAGAGATGATCCGTTTTGTCCACTGTGCGGCAACTTCGCGGCAGCAACATCAACAGTGATGTCTGGGAGCCTATTTGCAGCTAAACAATAAAAGTTCATAAATAAATTTTCATATCAGCTGCGGAAAATGCAAAGACGCCCTTGTCGGCGTGCGCTTTTCACTTTCGCAAATGAGACGTGTAATGTCTGAGGCTGGTTTTTCTTTCCTTTATGAGGGCGCAGACGCTGCAGGGGGCTGGGAGCTATCGACTTACCGCAGCTCAATTTCAAAGTCGCATTGCGGTTGAGGGGCTCCCCACGACGAGCTTGCATTGCGAAAATGTTGCACGCATTTTCAATGTCTGCGGACGATGATACGAACTCGAGTACGCCGATCAGTCCAATTTCACAACGTAATCTAATTACGTCAAGTTGTGGCAATCAAGAGTAATAATGAATATAATAATGAATATCATTGATGGATATAAGATCCTTCTGTTTGGTTCAATCTCTGTGTCAATTGAAATACAAGTAGAAAGCCCATATCACTGAACTAATAAACTAAGATTTGTGCGTATAAACATTTATTTACAATTTATTAAACCAATATGGCAGCTGAAGCTAGTTGAAATGTAATGGGGATTACTAGAATTGTCCATGGTATATATCTATGGGACACAATTAAATCCATGTAAATATGCAATGTGATATTTACAATATTTTGAAATTAAATATGAAATATATTTATGTAACTATATATTTTACACAAGGGATCTGGTGGGAAGATCCTTTGTGTCTGTGTGGATGGCACTTATTCTTTTTTTTTTAATGTTAATATACCCAAAACGACTCCTAAATGGCATTTAAAGGTGGAGTATGAAGCTGGAATAAATCTTTTACATTTCTCCTTATCATTCTGAATACGTCATTAGATAATTGGTGCTCTCGTGACGTCACAATAAGCACTCCTTAAGCCGCGTCGCTCTATCATTCCCACAGCCATTTTTATACTCTCTTTCTCTATCTTCTACATCTTCCAATTTGTTTAACTTTGATTGCAACCGCCTTATAAGAAATATCTTGAAACTATTGAACACTCTACCTACACCATTTGGTGACCATTTTGAACTTAACTGCCCATCCTAAATTCCATTCTAAGTTCTTATTTCATAATTTTTAATAATAATCTGAGATTCTTGTAAAAATAATAATAGAAAATGCACATTAAATTCAAGTTAAAGATAAAAATGTTGAATTCTGTACTTGATTTATGAGTTCATCTAAACTCACTGCCTCTTCGTCAGGATAATAAACGCGGTTGCTTACTGATACTTCGTTTATACACTTTAGACATTTCTTAACGCAGCGACGACAACCTTTTAAAAGAAACAGCTAATGCTCGAGCCTCGTGCTGATTTTGATAGATTTTATTATCGAAAGTCGTTATTGCTACTTATATTCATAATGTTGAGCATTCACAAAGATACAAAAATATATGGTGAAAAATAAAGTAGAGCTAAAAAAAGGCAAAATAAATATTTTATAGCCGCAACCCGCTATTTTCCAATTTTTTCCCGCACTGGCATTTAAAAAAAGCCTGATCTGGCGGGAAAAAAGCTAAAATTGCTGCACTGCTGCACAGTAAGAGTAACAGTAAAAATTTAATTAATTAATTAAATTAAATAAAAAATATTCAGTACATGTGTACATACAGTTTCAACAGCAAAAATTACGGGAGTTATGGAGAAAACACGAATTTGGGGGGAGTGGCGGTGTGCATCGAAAAAAACTCAAGCTCGTACTTTCTCGGTCTTGGGAGAATCTGGACACCAAGTTTGGTTGTTCTGGCTCTTATACTTTCTGAGATCCTTGCGTTCATACGGACGGACGGACAGACATACGGACATGGCTATATCGACTCGTCTTTTGGGGGTCTGTCACGCCTCCTTCTGTATGCTGCATACATTCGCACAAAACTAGTATACCCTTTCACCCTTTGGGTGCAGGGTGTAAAAATGTTTCATGGATTTTACGCGGTCATGCTAACAATAATTGAGAGATCGTTTCCCAACACTGCATGGATATAATCTGTGATATCAGTAGCATAGGATACAACACTTGCCTTACGAGCTTGAAATTGTTTTTCGGTTCCTCAAAGGACAACGAGTGAATTTTCTTTCCAACGCCTCTGTTGACCCGTTTCTGGAGACTGTGCTGCCTCCGAAAACTTTCATAAGATCTTGACTGCCTTCCAGAAACATCGTACAACACAGATCTATGTACATTTATTATTTCTTTTTGCAACTCTTTTACGGCACTTATTTGGTGGGCTTCCCAAGCACTCTGAGTAGGCCTTGAATTCCAAACGGGGACAACCCCAGGAATTTGAACAGGGAAATTCTAGTCTGGCTGCAATCGTTGTGTCGAACACGTGGCAGCACAGACTCAAAATTTAGTTTTCCTTCTTTCTTTTTTTACTAATAATTTTGTTTCATTTTTTTACTTTGCTTTCTTTGTTATTTAAAAAGTTGTACCATTTTTAAACTGCGTTAATTTTGATACAATGTCCTTATATTTTGGAAGTTCAAATGTAATTAGTATTTCGAGCATAAAATTTGCGAAGTATGGAACGCGGTCATTTTTTTTTTTTATTTATTTTATTTACACGAATTCAATTTCACTTTGTTCATATTTCTTAAAAACATTATGAATTAGCTTAGCTTTTTCTACTTAATTAAACAAAATGGAGAAATAAAAATGGTTAACAACAATCGACAGTGTAAAGCGGGAAAAATTAAACAAAGAAACCCGTACATGAATTTAATTACTTTTTATTATTTACATTTTACTTAGCGCTATAAGGACGTCGGAGCTATTCAAAAGTCTTGGACCTCTATTCTAAAACAACACGTGGCTGATGGCCTGAAACTCTCGTTCTTGAAATGTGATTAATTTGAATAAAATAAGCCTCTTTTTTCAAATTATCAATTCCGTGATTAATTTGTGTAATAAGCCCTGTTGATTGTATATTTGTTGAAGCCACAAATACTGGAATAAGCTGTCGCGAATCAAAGTTTTGGCACGAGGGCATCCGAGTTGTGGGACTTCTATATATCTTAAGTTTATCTGTAAAATAACTCATTTTATTAAATTAAATTAGTCTTCCAGCTATGATCAAACACAGAAAGCAGTAACAGTTCTGTGCAAAGAAAATGCTTTCAATTCCAAAAGTCATTCGCTCAAAATCCGATCATAAGCATTAAATAATAGAGCAATACTCTAGGAGCTCGAAAGCAGACGATGGTGCAAAAAAAAGTTTTGAGTTCGTTTTAAAAAGAAAAAGCGATGCCTCATTTCTAAAGCGATGAAGACATTAAATTATAGATTTTCAGAATTGTTGGCAAAGATAAGAGAAATGGAAAATGGGAAAACACGGAAAACGTAAAGCCACTGCGATGGCAATGGCAGCAATCTAAGCAGAAAATGGAAAATACGGCTGTGTGCGTGTCTGTATCTGTATGTGTAATTTCCCTTTGTGGTTGTTTTATTTCCCTTTTTGCATGAAAAATTGCGGCCGCACACAAGTGAAAATGCTTTCACGCCAAAGACAAAGGGAAAATGCATTGGAAATGAGGAAAAGCTGCGCCACAAACAGTTGGCAGTGGCAGTGAAATCAAAGAGACCAAACTCTATGGCCCATTGCAGATAACAAAGCCCTGCAAACCCAAACCAAATAAAGCAATTAATCAAGCTACTAAACCTCAACAAGTAAACGACTTACACCCCAGCGGGGCCTGAAGTAATTAGAAGTTAATTAATGCACAAAATTCACGTAAGCTGGGATTTTCAGATCTTTAACCCTAATAATGACAAGAGTACATATCTTAAAATATATAAATCCATAAGCATATAGGCATTATATTTTCCCTGGTTCCTTGCATATTTCATCCAACTGTCAAACCCAAACAATGAGACTGCATTTATTTCTTGGAGTTGCAGGACGAATGAGGTGCACTGTTTTCTCACTGCTCAAAAGCCTTTGTAGTGTGTAAGAAAATAAATAAATTAATTAAAAACAGAATACGGCTGGCAGTGAAACCTGCAATTTAAATATTGCGCTGACGACACACGACCTATCGACTATCGATTGCCGACAAAACACAATCGCGGATGTCAACAAAAGAAGAAGAAGCAGAGTAGCAATTTGGGGAGCTACAACAAAAGCCCATGTCGCTGGAGTAAAAAATACTAGCAAATCAGCAACTGGCGCATATTCAAAGTAAAGTTAATCTTAAGCTATCGGTATGTTGAACTCATTTATTTGAGTGCAACTCTGTATCAGAGAGCCCAGCATTTTATAATCGATGTTTGTGTTTTCTTAATCTAGTTGCTTTGACTTTATTGCCCCCGACATAAGCATTCAACATCCAGTCTTGATCAGTTTCATTTCGTAAAACATTCCGAGCTCCTACAAATTTTGCGAACGACTCCTTGCACAACAAATTTAGATAGAATTAAATTAAAATGGAGAACAACACACCGGTTTTTTATAACGCTGAGACCGTGCGACGGGTTTTGAATTGGCCGCTCGTAAACGAGGCTGTGGAGATGGCTTTGAAGGCCACCTCCTCCACCCAAAGACGGAACCGAGGCAATGCTTTGCCGATCCGTAGCAACCAGGACCCGGGCGATGGACCAGCAGTTGTCCAGGCTGGGGCAGCCCTGGCGCCACCGCCCGCCGGCGGCCCCTACGTCAACCAGCCGCAGCGCAGCTTCACTGTGGTCGGCAATGAGCCGCACAACCTGCTGCTGACCATGCCCGCCTTTGTGGGCGACTATGCGCTGACCTTGGACGGATCGGCTGGCGATGCCATGAATGTGCGCCGCCAAACTCTGGCCTGCAAGCTGGTCACCTCGTTCCGAAGCAATGAGCAGCGTCGGCCACCGCTGCCCGCCGTTATGGCGAACATTTTGTTGTTCAACAGCAGCACCGGACAACTGGAGTGCATTATGGATGGCACTGACATCACCAATTGGCGCACAGCCGCCGCTTCTCTGGTGGCCACCAAGTACCTATATTTCCGTCGTTTTGGCGCACACTCCGAGCAGTCCCGCGAAATTACGGTCAGCATCGTTGGTTGTGGCGCCCAGGGACGTTTCCATGCCACAGCCATGTGTGCCAATTTCCGTGTGAAGCAATTAAATCTGTGGAATCGCACGGAGGCCAAGGCTGTGCAGTTGGCTGAGCAGCTTCGCTTCCAGTTTGGCGATCGGATTCCCATCTCTGTTTGCAGTTCGACTCGTGTGGCCTGCCAGAATGCTGATGTTATTTGCATTGCCACCTATTCGCGTGAGCCTCTCATTTGCATCGATGATCTTAGTAAGGAGCGTTCAATTCACATTAATGGTAAGCATGTACATACATATACATATATTATATATAGCATGTACTATCCAAAACTCATTAGCCGACATCTGTGGCTGTTTTTTGTGTGCATTGCTTATTGTTGAACTGCTTTCGTTCAAATTCCGCCCTCACAAGTGTTGGGCAACGGCCGTTTTACAGTCGCGGCGAGCAGCTGTTGTGTTATCGACAGCGCGTGGGTGCCGTTCATCGATAGGCTGCGAATTAAACAAATCGATTTTAAAAACCGACTTTTATGTTTCTTATAAATAACATTTGTTAGCGTTTATGAAGAAGCTTAGAGTTTTTCTGACTTTCAATACTTACTTTGCGATGTAAAATATGTATGTATAAAACGGCTAAAGCATACTCTTTCCCAAATTACAGCTGTCGGTGCTGGTGAGGTTCATTTTGGCGAACTCGCCAATGATATATATGCGGAGGCCGAGGTCTATGTGGATAGCCGTGCCAGTGCTGCCATCGAGCTGCGTGATCTGCCCGCATCAATTGTAGCTGAAGTAGGAGAAGTAATACTAGACGGCAATTATCCTGATGAGCGGGCTCTAAGTGTCTTTCAGTCACTAGGTACTTTGCGGTTGCATATCTCCAACCAACCATTACCACAGCGTAAATAAACCATTTGAATTCTATTATACAGGTATGGCTTCGGAGGACACCTGCGTAGCTCAGGCCGTACACGAGGCTTTAATGTCGGGCATCAAATAAGGAAACGGGCACCAAACTCTCGCCGAGTGCATTTCATTTTCACCAAAGTGGAAATGCAATTTGCATAGAATACACAAAATCCTGTAAAAATTCAATTATGTGATAAATCACTTTGTGAAACTACAAAAACAAGAGGGAAAAAATTAACTGAAGCAAAGCTATTGCCAACGTGGCCTTCAATCAAAATACAAATCCATATGTATTTGATTCCATTTAAATATCTGGTTAATATTATTTGCTCGATAATGCATCCATTATGAAGAGCTCTAAATAGATCTTAGATCTTAGTCTCTAGACCTGTTTAATTTGTTTACAGAAATCTCAAAAATCTAAGCTCCAGCTATAATTTTCTTTCACGAAACATACTCGAAATGATATCCATAGTGATTCAGTTTCTTTAAAGAAATCTCAGACATTTAAGATTATAAATTATACAAATTATTTCTATAAGGGATGCAGAAACATCTTCATTCATAAGTCTCTAGTCCTGTTCAGTTTGTTTTAAGAAATCTCAAATATCAGATCTGGCATTTAAACAATTTAGAAAAAGCAACATTTCTATTTTCAAAATCACTCCGAGGATTCGTATATTTTTTGCCCCAGAATACATATTCTCTACTTAGAGTGATCAAAGCCACTAGACCTGTTCTGTTGCTTAAAAGAAATCTCAATAAAGGTATTTAAGATTTGTAGAAGTGCTGCAGCAACATATTCGTTTTCGAAATCTCGCAGAGATTTCGTATAGCACTTGCCCAGGATTATATCCTTTGTAGAAAGTTATAAATAGTCCAATCCTCGCCTGTAGTGCTCCCCATTCAGTTTGTTAAAAGAAACCCAAAAATATGATATTTGCACCTGAAATGCTAAAAATGCAGCAATATTTTCATTGTCGAAATCTCCCAGAGATGGTGGTTTGTAGTTTCTTATTCTTAGATTTGACTCGATTGGTACAACGCTCAATATTTGTAGCCCGTATTAAAAAGTCGATTGTTTTTTTTTTTGTAAATTTTTTTGTCTTTGTAATCATTTTAGTATTTTTTTTATTTTCAATCTTTTCTCGCTTTTGTTTTGTTGTGGAATTAATTAATTTTTATGTTTACTTACTGATTTAATATCTTTCTCATTTCTCGCCGCACTTTTATATACATACATATGCATGTATATATACACATATATGTTTTTGTTTTCCTCAATTTTGTTTTGTTAATATATTGTATTTAGCTGAAAGCCCCACGCTGTCTGGGGACTTGTTGGCCGCCCAGTTTCTTCATCAGTGGAAAGGGGGCGGGAAGCCGCACGCAATGAATTCTTCACTTTTGTTCACTTTGTTTCAAATAATTTTTTAGCATAACTATTGAATAATTTGTTTATATATATATATATTTATATATACTATGTGTATATTCAGTTTGCTTTTTGTTTTTTTGTTTGTATTTCCTCATTGTTTTTTCTTTAATATATTCAATTTAAATTTCATAATTTTATTTATTATCATAATTATTATTTAATAAAATACTCAACAAATAATTTAATGCTTTTTTCTGCGATTTTTGTTTTTATTTTTTAATGGTACACTGTATAATGTGCATCATGTTGATGTTGTTGTTGCTGTTTTTGTCGGTTTTGTATTTTATTATCAATTATTTATATGCTTCGTTTAGTACTATTTAAACACTTAAATGTATTACTCATTCATGAAGTTGCCTTAAAACAAAGCAGAGAGAAAAAAAACAGCTTGTATTTATCCACTTTTTGTTGTTGTTGTTTAACATTAAGCATTTTTATTTTGTTGCTTTCGTTCGGTTCGACGTACCCGAACCAGGCCGTTAAAAAATAATAATAATTAATAGTAATAATAATAATAATAGTTTAAATATTTATAATTTAAAAATGTGCATTACACATATGTATTTACATATGTATATACATACATACATACATATATGCATGTATGTATATATGTATATACATGTACGTACATACATATGTATGAAGATAGATTCGCCCTTGCTGTGTTCGTATTTACAGCTCACATATTTTTTGCTCTGCGTTTAAAAGAACTAAAAATAAGTCAACACACACGCATACAATATTCATAATATTACAAGACGTAAAATCAAATTTAATTTAAATTAAGTTTATAAAAAAAAATTGTTCACCTAAGACTGCTGTTAAAATTAAAGGAAAGTACACAATATCTCTCTCTCTCTCTCTCTCTCTCTCTCTCTGCATACAATTATTTTGTTGAAGTGGTTCTCTGGTGTTTTTGTGGCTTTCATCGTTTATTATGCATTCATTATCTTACTTTTATTTATATTTTCTTTTAATTTTAATTAGGCATAAATAATTTATTTATATAAATATTTACAGTTTCTTTGCTACTCGTTATGGTTGGTTGTTGTTGCTGTTCTTCTCGCTCTTATGCCTTATGCTGTTGTTTTTGGGAGCGACACGCAGCCTTATCTCATTTTTTTTTCTCGGTTGGCGGCATTTAATTTTAGTTAATAGCTATTATTTTTGAATTCTCTTTCTTTTGTCACACGCTCGGCAATATTTCATATTTACGTGTTAGCGCAATCTAAATCTAAATATTTGTTTTTACTTTTATATTGTATAGACTGAAGAAATCATTTTAGTTTTCGTCTTTGCTCAGTTTTTGCCTCCTCTTCTTCTTCTTTTTGTTTTAAGATAAGCCGCACTCTTTATACCTTCGCTTTTACACTCTCTCCCTCTCTTTTCTTGGCGCAGCACTGAGGCACTTTTCCTGCTCTGCTCTTTTGAAATTGAATTGAAAATATAGAGTATCGGGACAGCAGGACGCGGCCGCTTGTGGATCTGCAGATTGAACTTTGGATGTGTGTCTGTGTGTGAGTGTGTGTGTGTGTAAGCTATGCTCACTGCTACAAATACAATTACAAATACAACAACAACAACCTGAACATGCTGGAACAATCCAAGCGATCCAAACAATACGCATACATTTCAAGGTGCCTCAGATCTGCCCAGACTTGCTCTTCACATACATACATAATGTATATACATATGTACATATGTCACATGCATATGCCTATATCTTTAGTCCTTTTCTTTCAGCTCTCAACTCTGCTGCCTATATATTTTCACATCGGTTGTACGTACATACATACATATACCTATGTATATGTGTGTGTATTTATGTGTTCAGAACTTTATAAAGATTTAAATTTTGTTTTATTGAAACATTTAGCATGGTTGTTGTTTTTGTTTTTAAACCTTTTTTTGTTTTCTTTTAATATATTCTTTTAATATATATGCCTTTGATATTAATATTTAATACAATGTTACGCATACTTTATTACATAAATTTTAAAATAATCAAAAAAAAAAAACATGTATATGTATACATATATATATTTATATAGATATATATTATACATATATCCATATATAAGTATATTTATATATGCATATATATCTGTTATATATATTATTTAATAAAAACTATTACATTAATCATTAGAAGTAATTTTTATTGTTTTCTCCTCATTTATCTTTATGTTTTATCTGCCTTTTAATATTTTTTTGCATATGTTCGGATTTATTTTATGGTATTTATTTTCTATTATATTTAAGAGTTGGTACAACTTGTAGAAAATTCTGCTGCAAGACATATACATATACGTACATGTATGTGTGTGTGTGTGTGTGTGTGTGTGTGTGTGTGTGTGTGGGTGTGAGCCTAAAAATTATTAAATACCAAAACATATTTAATAACTGTTTGTTGGATGGTTTGTGTGTTTGTATGTGTTTTTCTCTATTACTTCATCTATTTCTGTTTACTTTTGTTTGTTGTTTTGTGTGTTTTATTTTTAATCATTTGTTTCTGGGTGTCATTAACATTTCGATTAACATTTCGATTTATACTCTCAATGAGAATTGTTTAATGTCGGGTTTTGTGCTGTTGTTGTTGCTTAACGTTTTAAATAAATAATTGGCAATTGTAATAAATTATAAGCAAAATTGCTTGCATTTCCATTCAAAAGTTAAAACACATTGCATTGATGTGGGTGGTGTGCATTAATAATAGAAAAAGTAAAATAATCAATAGATAGAAACTAGCAGTAATGAATCTATTTCATATTCATTGTTAATTTGTAAATTAATTAACATTATCATAAAAATCAAAATAAAAATTATAGCATTCCAGTATGCCATTCAAATGTTTGGATGTAAAAAACAACAAACTAACAAGCAAAACCCATTTTGACATTTGACAAAGACAATTGTTAATATTATTGTTATCTCGATGTTGTTGTTATTGTTTCTGCCGCCTGCCTGCCTGCCTGATAGCCCGTCTGTCAATCAAATGCGAAATACCCTTTACATTTTTGTTTTCTCTATTGCTGTTGTTGTTGTTGCATGTGTGTGTTGTGTTTGCTGTTGTCTCTTTTTTTATATATTAACCTACTCTAATTTGCTATATTATTAATTAATATTATTATTATTATTAGTTCTCAATATAAAGAAAAAAAATGTTGCAACTCTTAAGCGACTGCTGCTGCTGCCCTTGTTGTTGTTTGGTGTCATTTCTTGGCGAGAGCGAGCGATTCAGCGAGCGAGCGAGCAAGCAGACAGGCAGGCAGCAGCCAATATTGCCTTCTCGCTCGCCACAGACCCACCATGTTATGCCAATGGCCGACTTAACATTTGCAGACAGAGAGAGCAGCGCTTCAGACGCAGACCTACTGGCTAGCTTTTACATTTAGCATTTAAATTTAGTTTCTTATATTCTTGGTTTTCCGTTTTCTTTTTTTGTTTCTTTTTCTGTTTTTTCTTTTAGTTAACAAAAAAAAAAATTTATAGCAGCCTTTAAACAACTAGCATTTTTTTGTTTTCTGCGCTGGCTTAACTTTGTAATTTTTTTTAAAGTTTTTTTTTTGTTTTTTTTTCTGCTTGCTATCGTTCATTGTTTTTGTTTTGCTTTACGCTTATTTATCACATTTAATATAATATATATAAGATGTATATATAGTTTTTTGTTTTGTTTTTAAATTTAAGTTTCATGCAGTTATTTTTCTTGTTGTTTGCGACGCGTTTTTTTGCTGGCGCTGTTCTTGTTGTAAATTTATGGAAATTCATCTGGTTTGTTGTTGTTTCTCTATGTGTGTTTTGTTGTTGTTGTTGTTGTTAGGACATTGTTGGACGACGGCCACGCCTTAATATGTTTCGTGTTTCTCTTCTTTTTTTTTGTTTGTTTGTTTTAGTTGTAGTTAATATGTGTGTATATGTATTTATATACGGCAGTGTGTTCCTTGGCATGTTACGCCCTTTCCGCCGCCGCCGCTGCCGCTTCCGGCGCCTACTACAGCAGCTCCTGTTGCAGCAGCAGTAATTGCTGCTGCTGTTGCAACTGGGCTTGTTGCTGCAATTGCTGCTGCTGCCAGCGTTTGTATTTGCCTTGATATGCTGTGGTCGTCAACGTTGTTGTTGCTGGTGTTGTTGCTATTATTGGTGTAGGTGGTGATGCTGCTGTTGCCGCCCCTATTGCTGCTGCAGTTGCTGCTGCGGCTGTTGTTGTTGGTGCTGCTGCTATGGTTGGTGGTGGCGGCAATTTATAATGAGCATCCATCACAGTTTCGTAGCAATAGGCCGCTGTATCAATAAGCGTTGTTGCATAGAGTTGTGGTTGTTGTTGTTGTTGATGATGCGGCTGTTGCTGCTGCTGCTGTGGCAGGTGTTGTTGTACAACATACTGCTGCTGTTGTTGTTGCTGTTGTTGCTGCTGCAGCCCGCTGCCGCTATTTGTATTGTTATTATTATTATTTTGACTAATGTTGCTGTTATTGGTTGTTGCTGTTATTATTATGTGTTGTTGTTGCTGTTGTTGTTGACCAGCAGCATAGCCCACAATGGGCATTGTTGCTGCTGCTACGGCGGCGAATTATGAATTGGAATGGCGCTTAGTTTGCAGCTAGGATGAGCTGGACTGATTCATATTGCCAAACATGTGGGCTGAGAACGATGTCTGGCCGGCTGAGTTTGCCTGCGATGTTGACGATTGTTGTTGCTGTTGCTGCTGCTGTTGTTGTTGCTGCTGTTGCGCCTGCTGTTGATTCAACGAGCCACGCCCATGCTTCGGAATTGGAGGCTGTATATATTCATGACGCGCTAATGCGAACACATCCATGCGATCTTCCTTTCGATAGGCCAGACAGCCGCGTATGAAACTCTATTTAAAGAAATAGATAGAGATGGTAATAAGATATCCAGATGATATGCCTCCTTCCAGCTTTTTCATTTGTAACTCACCTTGGCCTCATTGGACACTGTGGGCTTGTTGGAGAACTGCACCTCCGTTGCCTTCAGTATGGTGTTCTCCTCCAGTATGGTCGCCTGGGATTGATTGTGGCCGAACGGCTTCTTGCCATACAAACACTGATAGAATATCACGCCCACGCTCCAGACATCAACTTTCGATGAGATTTTCGGTGGATTTTTGCCAACAACAAAACACTCGGGTGGCAGATACCTGAAGCATAGAGAGAAATATTACCATAATGTTTTTGTTTCAAGTTTTATAAAAAGGACTGAAAGGTTTTCGGCTATCGCTTCAAAATGTGATCACTTTCTCTCTCTCTCTCTCTCTCTCTTAATATATTAACAGACACGGTCTTTTGTATAGAGATAAGATAAATAGACTTAAGATAAATTGGTTGCAGACATGATTGATGGAAAACCAACCGTTATATATATCTCCTCTAGCATCTAAATCTTTCACTTATAAAAGAAGAGAATCTATCTGGAACAATTACTGCTAGGCTGTCCTCTAAAAGTTGTAAAAGTCCCAAAAATCTCAGCGTCCTTAAATAGCACTTACCAATATGTGCCCGCACCCTGGGATGTCAAGTCCATGCCATGATCCGGATTATAGTTCTCATCGTCCATCACCTTTGATAGACCAAAATCCGTAATTTTGATCTCCCCGCACACATTGCCTTCGGTCAGCAATATGTTACCCGGTTTCAGATCATAATGAATGACGGGCGGTTTAATCTCATTTAGATACTTGAGTGCAGATACAACCTGAAATATAAATCAGATTAGACGCATGTATGTGAGGGATATTTTAAATACGACTTACCTGCATGATAATCGAGCGTGCCTCACGCTCGGGTATAGTCTTATGCTGCTTCAAATAGAAGTCTAAATCGTGACCATCGCAATACTCCAGCACTGTGCAAAATGAGTTCGCATCGATCTCGAAAACATCGTATAGCTTCACGACGCGCGGATGGTCCAGCGCCTTGTGAATGTTGTACTCTCGCAAGGCGTGTCTGAATGCGGAGGAAAGAAGTCGAATTCGAATATTTGATGTTTAGTTTCTGCTTTTCAAATATCTTACAAGTGCTGGGGGCCAAAGCTGACTGTATTTGACAAATATCTAAATATCCTACAGTTATATCTATAGATGGTTCATAAACTATCAAGTCACCTTCATTGCCTTTCGAGAAGAGGGTTAGTTTCTTATTAGTAATGCTATTTTCGTTGGTTTTGCTTTCTTTTCGTTCGATATTAATATAAATATCCATGACTTATATATTGCAAATATATGCTAGTCCATATTTTGTTTTCACATACATATATGCGAAGATGACGTTTTCATCGAGGTTTTATTCGAAGTTTTGAATTGTGGAACAGTTACTTCAAAAGCTGTGGGAAACTAATTTCAATAGGCGTATCAGCTTGCCTAAAAAGTGTTATAGGAAATTGGAGATCCTTCCACAAACTGCGCTTTCTGTTTTTTATTTTTCAAAATAATTGACTGATTATTTATTGACTAGACTAGACTGACTATTGCTCGTAAAGTCTACTCTGCCCTCTTCACTCTACTTTGCCACTGCCGCTGCCACTGCCACCACCATTGTCAACTGTCACTGTTACTTGCGCTCTTCCTACTCACTTGATATAATTAGCTTTCTTATCCTCCTTCCAATCCTTGTTTAATTGGTGCACCTTACATGCGACATAGCGTTGCTCCTTCAAGTCGAACGCCTTGTGCACTTCGGAGAAACCGCCTTTGCCGAGCAGCATTAGCAGCAGATAGCGATCGTTCAGCACGGGATGATTATTGAAGCGGGACTATCAGAGAGGGAGACACAAAATATTTAGTATTAGTATATATCTCTGGCTATAATAATGTATGGTCTGCACCCACCTGATCTTCGTTGAGTATGCGCTTGAGCTCGCGTATGTGTAAGTTACGCTCACGTTCGAGCTTCTCCATCTCTAGCTGAAGATCGGCATCCTCCTTTTTGAGGGCATTCTGGCGGAGTTTCAGTATTTCATCGTATTCGTAATACTCCTGGGCCGTGTAGGCGCCCGAGACGGGATCTGGTTTGAGGAAAGTGCCCGAATCGGAGCAACTGCCACTATCATTGCCGCCACCAGCACCACCGCCACGATCTGAAAGTCGATCGCCGACACCACCACTGTTGCCGACATTGCCACCGCCATTATGGAGGAGTTGTGATTGCTGGGCCTGTGTGGAATTGGAACGTGATAGGCCGCGGCCAGTGCCGCCGCCACCACCACCGCCTGCACCGCCACCACCAACATTGGTGCCGCCGAGGCCACTGTCAACACTACCACCGCCACCACCGAGACGATCGCTGCCTGCACCGCCGACACCACCAACGCCCGTCAACTGTGATGAGTCATTCGAATTGGAATTCTGTTGTTGCTGATTATTCTGATTGCTATTATTGTTACGTTTCCGACCCGATTCGGCCGGACGTTTCTTCATGAGCTGCTTCTTTTGACGATCGATTTCTTCACGTTCGGCGGTGATTTCCTCCTGGCGTCGGCTAAGCTCCTGAAACGCATAGCCATCCGTCCAGTTCTCTTGGAATGTGGCGCCAACGCGTTGCGTCACAAATTGCCCAAGTCTTAGACGATTCTGCATGCACTTCTGACGCGCCTCTTTCTTCTCAATGCTGCTCTTCTCCTTGAGCAGCTTCTTAACCACATCAATACATTTCGCAATGTGCAATTTGTGCTGATCGATCGTCTTCTGATTGCTGTTTATCTGGCATTTCTGCTCCTCGGACAGTCTTGTCATCTCGTCCAGCTTCACCTTGCCCGACTCATGTTCGGCCTCGCGTTCCTGTAATTCGTGGACCGACATTTCCGTTTGTGTCGCCTTCGTGTATGTGACGGTTGTGGGTGCTGGCAGGGGTGGCATCACGTTTAGGGAATGATGCTGATGCGTGGTAACGACCACACCACCACCGGCACCACCTCCAGATGCTGTTGAGGTGGTTAACTGTTGTTGTTGCTGCTGTTGGGCTTGGGTCTGTTGTGCCACACTTGGCGGTGGACCGCTTAGACAACCAGCGGCATTTAGTACGCCATGGGCTACGCCCACGCCGACACCGACGCCAACGCCCATACTAACACCACCGCCCAGTGGTGCGCCCATGGCCGTTTGCTGCTGTTGAGGAACCATTGTATTGGAAGTCTGTTGTTGTTGCTGGCGTTGCTGCTGTTGTTGCTGCTGCTGTTGTTGTTGTTGCTGCTGCTGCTGTTTAACCACCGCCGCTGTTGCCGCCGTCACATAATGAAATTCTGCATTTGCCTGTACATTTGGCGTTTGCGTTTGTGGACTAGGTGGATACATATATGCACTGGTGGTTTGCACCGGTGGTGGCGGCGGTGGTGGTTGCTGTTGCGGTCCGCTTACAACCACCGCCCCCGCCGCCGATGATGGTGACTTGGAGCCACCGGCATGACGCAGTCCGCTGTTTGCCACACCGCCACCGCTACCAGCACCGCTGGCACTACCACCAGCACCACTGTGCTGTTTATTGAAGTAGTCGTTGATCTTTTTATCGCCCGCTCCACCAGGCAGCATAAGACGTGCATTTTTGGCGCTCACAACGCCAACTGGACCGCTGCCTGTCACACTATTACCAGCGCCGCCACCAGCTCCAGCACCGCCACAACGATCCAGTCCCATCACCGGCAACGGCATGTTGACCTTTTGCAAGCCCTGTGTGCTTCCATCGCCACGAAATGCCAGAGATTTGACACCCTTCATGCCAACACTGTTGCCATTGCCGCCACCAGCACCACCGCCACCGCCGCCGCCAGCAGCATCATCCGTGTGGTTAGGCATCTTACGTTTACGTTTGCGTTCGGCAGGCGTGCGTGGTAGTTTCCCACTACTACTATTGTGTTGTGAGTGGACAGTCAGCATTTCCAAAGCAGTCATCGTAATGGAACCACCGGCACCACCAGCACCACCGTTATTTGAATGCAAGCCAGCTGCGTTTAGCTGCGCATTTGTTAATCCACTGCCTACGCCCAACATATCGTTAACATCCTTTTCACTGTGTGAGGAACCAGTGCTCATATTAGAGTCTGGATTACTACTGTGGTTACCACCACCACCAGGACCACCGGCACCACCGCTACCGACAACGCCGTGCAGCGCAATGGCCGCCGCCGCACCTACGTGTGGATGTTGCTGATGCAGATTTTGGTGTTGATGTAACTGTTGTTGTTGCTGCTGCTGTTGTTGCTGGTGCTGCAACTGTTGCTGCTGTTGTAGCTGTTGCTGTGCCACTGGACCGCCGCCGAGTTGAGAGTGCAACGATTGCAGGTGCTGTTGTTGCTGCTGTTGTTGCTGTGCCGCCGACTGTTGCAGCTGTGGTGGAAATAATTGCTGTTGTGCCGCTGACTGTTGCAGCATTTGCTGTTGTTGCGCCTGCGTGCTGTGATGATTAGCAAAATGATGAGCTGCCGTCTGCTGTTGTGGCTGCTGTTGTTGTTGCTGTTGTTGCTGCTGCTGTGTGGGATGATGATGACTTAATGTCGATGTGGTCTGTGGGGCCATCTGCAATTGAGCGCCGGCGGACATCTGTAAGAGATAGAGAATAATACAGAGTTAGTTCCCTCCTTCAGGATAATATACATTTGAATGTAAACACACATATGTCTCTAATATTAGTATGAATTGTTCAAATCTATAATATTTTGTATAGTTGCCGATCAATCGAAATTACATTCGCAAGATGGAAAGAAAAATATTCGAGTAACCCGTCTTCATTGTTTATCATGTTATTTACCGCCTCTACAAAACAGATAAAAACAAAGTAAACCCGAAATCCTCTATATCAGTACAAACGATTTTCGTTCCATAGGAACTTCCAGCACAGTGAAAAAATATACCTTTATTTGCGGACCGTAATCGAAATATTTGATTTGTGTATAATTTGGTAAAGTTCAGGCAATTAATTGACTTAAGTGTCTGCAATTCATTTAGCTTTTCTGAAATCCGAATTTAATGAACACAATATTTACGCCGTTATGTTTACAGCTTATAATTATTTCGATTTATTACCTATTTCAATTTCAAATGATTCTAAGTAGAACAAAAACATTTCACGAATGTTATATTAAATTGAATATTAGCAAAAACAAATGTCAAAAAGAGTGGTGATAATGTCCATGCCCGTCACCGATACCGCTTTCCAACACTATGGCCAAAGGCAACATTTTTGTTTTGCTCTGTATCTTCGCTGCAGTGCTGCCACATGAAACTCGTATATTGCCAACTAGGTGGCAATACCGGTGGGCATGTGAGCGACCAAATGAGACGATGCAAAATAAAGAGTATATATATATATAAGAAAAAAGAACTGAGTTGTGCATGGTGACGAGTATGAGTGTGTGAGTGAGATGTCGACGCGATGTCAAAGCGCGTGCGGCATGCGTGTGAGTGAGCGCAATGCACACACAGCTGCGACTTTCCATGTGTTTGTGGATGTATGTGTGCGTAATATTTTATCAAAAAGCAAAGCGTAAAGACAATGAAAGAAAAGCAAAAAGGAAAATAAAAAATGAAAAGACACACACGAAAAAAAGTTGAAAATTAAAGTAACAATGAAAATGGCTACCCAACTACAGAGACGACGACCATGAAGAAGAACGACGACGACAAATCTGTGAAATACAAACGTTTGTCGTTGTATTCGTCGCTTTTTTCTTCTGCCTTCCGCTTTACTTTTCCTTTATATGCACACACAGCACTTTCTCACTCTTTCACACATTTTTAATTTTCATAAAAAAATTTCATTCGATTTGATTATTTCCAGCATTTTTTTTAACAAAAAAAAATGTTTGTATTGATCTCCGGAATATGCCACAAAACAGTTTCTGATGTTTTTGTGAATATGATTTTTTCGCTATTCATTTTGATTTGTATGTTTGCTTTGTTTTATGACAAAATGCCGTTCACCTTTTTTAAGCGCCGCATATTTTTCTGCACACACATACACGCTTTTTGCTTTATACACTAGGGGCGCTGCGCGTGTATATTTATTGATGTGTGTGTGTGTGCAAGTGTGTTTGTGTCGATTTTCACATTCTATTACAATTTATCACAATTATGCTGTTATTTTCAACAATATTACTCTCGCCCAGCGTTTTTAATTAAACATTTCCGATTTATTTTGAAATAATTGCTGTTAAATTCGCACTCTGCAAATTTTTCGTTGATTTTATATTTTTTCACCGTATTTCGGGCCAGAAAATTGTTATACGCGTATATATTTGTAATAGTGCTCTGTGCGCGGCCGTAACGAGTAAGAAAGAAGGTGAAAAAGAAGAACAAGAGCAATAAAACCCGCACACACATACGATGAGACAACGACACGACAACAACAACGACGACGACGAAACGATGCCTGAGACGTTTTGGGTATTTGCTGAGAGAGAGAGCAAGAGCGAGAGAGCGTTTCGCTGTGCCGAACCGGGACGACAACAGCACACTATACAACAGCGACAACGAGAAAGCTACCATTCGCTCATTTGCAAAAACGACAACGGCAACGGCTACGACGAGTAGCAAAAAAAACCAAAAAGTACAATAAAAATTAATCCGATTGACAAGCTGGCTGGCTGACTGACTGTCGAACTAACTGAATGAATGACACGCAGTCGTTTCGTTAACTACTGGCTGATTTTTTTGAAATTTCTGCGACTTCCGCGCGCGCTCGCTAACCAAAAACAACAACGATACTAAACTACAACAACTATTTGTAGTTGCTGCTGCGACGATAGCGCCGCCGACTGCGCTGCCACTGCGTCCTCTTCTTCTTCTATTACTTCTCGCCCATCAACCAGCCGGCGTCTTTGTCAATTCGCGAGCACAACAACAACGCGATGCCGCCCGCCATTGTCAAAAAATAATAAATTGTGGTTAAAGTGAAAAAGAATTTAATCTATTTGAAAATATTCAATTTCTTTTAATTGGAATTAAATTTAAGAAAATTTAAAACAATTCTTTAACCTGTACTAATTTTCAAGGTTTAATTGTCATGCTTTAATTGTTATACTTTAAATGTACATACACATATTTTGTCCATCGTTAAGTATTTGTCGGCCCTAATTATCGAGTTTTTTTGTTTATAATTTTCTCTTAAAGTTGTCATTTCGACGATAAACCTGCAAACTAGCGATGGGCATGTGCCGAAAAGGCACGAAGAAATACGACTAAAATATTTCAAATTGGAAAAACTCTTGAAAATATTTGGTAAAACACTCTCTTAGTAATTTCGATGTATGTGTGAATATGTACATAACTTTTTTCTGATTGAAAATGAGATAGATTGTTACGTGCATCCCGGTTATTATTTTATAAAATAGTATTGCCAATTATTTGTCGTAAATTAAAAAGATACAATAACATTTTACATAGTTATTGGAGATCAAGTATTATAATTAAATCATTATATTATCTATTATTTTAATGTCAAACATAGATTTTGCATCTATTTTTTATTACAATTAAAACAACCTGATTCTAAAAATCATTTGTAAATTACTAAATGAAATTTATCCGTGCGTGTATGCAAGTTAGTTTCTAAAACTCTATTTCGTGTCTTGCTAAAAAAAAACCGGCCAATGCTCATCTCTAAATTCAAACATCCACGACGAAAGCAGCGCAGCAATTCTCTTTATATTTGAGTGCGTGTAAGTGTGAGAGAGCGGCGCTTTACTCTCGTTTAGTTTATTTTGGCATAAAAAGGAAGGAAGCGATTTTTCGCTGTCGTCGTCGTCGTTGTGGTTTTTAAACAACAGCTGGTATTCTGCTGCCACCTCTCGCCATCATTGCTTCTAAAAGTGAGCGAAAGATGTGCAGTTGGACTACACAGGAACAGAAAAAAGTGTTGCCAAACATGACTGAAAAATAAATTACAAAGCGAAGCAAGAAAAAAGTATAACGGCTGCAACGACACCGAATTGGCAACACCAAGCCAACCAAGTTAAAGCAAATTGTTAAACAATGATGATGATAACAAGACCCGAGCCGAGGGCCAGGTATAAAACGACGAATGGCCGACCGACGACGACTTAATTTTTCGGGCTTGCCCCACACGTGTGAGCGCGAATGAGATAAATCTATGATGATGTTGTTGTTCGAATTCGGTTGATGGGGCCGCACAAAATCAAAAGCGTGCGAAAAGGCACACGAGACGATGCTTTTGGGAGCGGGCGGCGGGGCGTGGGCGCGAGGGTGTGGCAGTAACATGCATTTCTTATTGGCATCATGTGTGCAGATGCCTTGTGCATGTGTGTGAGTGCATCAGAGAGTGTGAACGAGAGCGCATTCCAATGCACCGTTCAAAAGGTTCGCTGGCTTGTTGGCATACACCAGCACCAGTCTGTAAATTGTTAGATGTTGATAAATAAATAAAGCTAAATAAAGACTAAATTTAAAACCGACACTATAATGGCATAATTTTCGTTTTTTTCTTCGAGCCCTACATTGTATCTTTTGTACTATTTTATGCAGACAAAAACTGCAACAAAATTACATGCATACGTGAAACCAGATATATTTTATTCTTTTTTTAAATTCCTAATTTACAAATTCTTTTTGTTATATCTAATAACGTCTGTGTTTACTTTGGGCTATGCCAAGGGTCAAAATTGGCCGGAGAGCAAACTAAATTCCCCCAAAACATCATTTGCTTTTAACCTTAGTTTCTTTTGTGGTCCCTTTTTTAATCGGCAGCCTTTACATACATATGTGTGAACATAAATTGATTTTAAAAAATTTAACAATATTTTATTTAGAAATTGGTTGTAGTATACTTGCAAGTGTAAAAATTGGTTATAAAAGACAGAAATTCGTTATGGATAAGTGTGTCTACTAGTTTCTTTTTTTTCATTTTGCAAAAGGCGAATGTACGTGCTAACACTATCAGTTACACAGCCACACACACACACATATTTCTTAACTGGTTGGCAATTCGTTGTCGGCAACAAACCGGTCGAAAGAGCGACAAAGACGTTGACTTCAACAAGATGTACGGCGGCATGGCAGCGCTGCCATCAATAGCAGCAGCAGCAGCAACAACAACTAAGCTAATAGTCTGGCAACGCCGTCGCCTGCGCCACACTAACAGTCGTCGTCGTCGCCGCCACAGCAGTTTAACAGTTCACGTCGATGAGTCAAGGTCGAGAGACGTCACGCAAATTTTCGTTTTCATTGCCTACAAAAAATACTATGGCCGTTTATTTTTAGCGCCGCAATACACAGCCATGCACACATATTAACATTGCGCCGCACGAACATACGAGCGAGCCGAGCAACGGCTATGACTGCGACTTTGGCTCTAGAGACGAATATGTGAATGGAGCGATGGCACACATACACGCAAATTAACAGCGGAGGTAGCTAATCGTTGTTTTAATTATTAAATCCTGTACCCAAGTGTTAAGGGGTGCACTAGATGGTAAAAACGCCAAATAAATATAACAGGAAGATCGACAATAACTTTTGGATCATAACTTGGGACCCAAAACTTGACGTACACTTGCTTTATATCTACGCAGGTCAAGTTAATTTAAATAAATAATTTCACAACCATTAGTAAACAAACACACAAAAAAATTGCTAGCATAACTTGTTTGCTCAAAGATATTTAATGAGAAGTTGAAAACATATTTATAAATGCTATATTAACAATGAATATATATGGTATATTGTATGTACATATGTACATACAAAGATCTAAATTCAAACTCTCAAGAGCTTAAAATACGGATTTAAAAGAGACCCTCCATTTTTGCATAGTATAAAAAAATGATAAAATGCGCACACCAACCACAGACGCTTTTTAGCCCTTAATTGAATTAAATATTTCAAACTTAACACGTCATTAACATAATTATGCCCTAATTGCGATGCTTGCCTAACAGCACGCTGTTAAAGTGGATCTGAGCCAACAAAAACATATACGTACACGCATACATGTCTAGCAGCACGTGCGAGCGTGTCGTAAACAAAGAGCAATGTAAACAGAGAGCAGCGGCGTTAGGGTGCTCTCGTTCTGCCTCTCACAAGCCGACAGAAAATGAGTAGAAAGAAACAGCTACAAAAAGAGAGAGGACAAAAAAGCAAACACACTCACACTCTTGGCTAATTTGCGACCGTTGCCGGCGCTGCGCTTCGATGCCGACGTTGCGCCGTTGCTGGAGCTGCGGGTTCGTTTGCGTGCCGCTGCTGCAGTGGCCGCTGTTGTTGTCGGCTGCGGCGTCGTTGTTGTAGACATGGCTGTGGCTAACATGGCCGTAACAGTGCAAATGTTCGTTAACGTCGTTGTTGTTCCTTTTGAACAGCTGATGCAGTTGCCGGCAAATCTTGACAAATCAGCTGCGACCGACTGTTAAGCACCATGACGTTCGCTCTCTCTCTCTCTCACTTTCAGGTGATACGGTACTCTGCGCTCTCCGATGTTGCCGGTAGCAGCAGAGTTGTTGTTTTTTTTCTTTCTTGATGCTTTTTGTGTTATTTCTTGTGTTTTAGCTCTTGTTATTATTCTTTTTGCGCACTTTACTTATTTTGCACGTTTTCCACTCACACACGTATTTATATGTATAATATACACATATACTTAGGCGGCAGCGACAGCGTTCGTTCGTCTGCTTGCGCCCGCTTTTTCGAACAAAATATATAAAAAAAAACTTGTCTTCTGTATGTTGCGTTTTTCTTTTGTATCTTATGTTCGTATATACATATGTACGTATTTATGTACATATGTAAGTATTTATATCTTTGCCGATGGCGGTTTTTTTTGTTTTTATAGTAGGAAGTTGGCAAAAATTTAACCGCGCGTCGACGACTACAACGACGACACGTCACGTTACTCGCTCTTTAAGTTCGACACTGTTGTGCTAGAGAGCAGCGGCAAGGTAAAATTGGCAAATCTACAACAAAACGACGACGACTGCGACGTCGCAGCAACTGAGGCCCGTTTGTCTGATGTTGTTGTTATATATACGTATGTATGTATATGCGAATGTGCGATGTGTCTGTTAACCGAGTGAACTTAAATTGTTTAGCGAGGCGCTGCAGCCAGTGACGACGTTGCTTCGACTCTATAGTTAGTTCTTGTTGTTGTTGCAGCTGCTGCCGCTGCTGATGTTGTTTGACTCGCAAGGCCGACTCTGTATGTGTTGTTTGCTTTGCATTAGAATTTTATGCTGTTAATTTTTCTTTCATATGTTAAAATGTACATACATACATAATTACATGCGTATGTACATATGTATGTATGTATTAAATTTACGTATGTACGCATGTATGTACATACACATGTATATGTTAGTATTGTGAAAGCTTTGCAGCAATGCATTTATTTATAATCAATATCAATTAAAATTAATGAGCTTATTTATGTTAAAAATTTAACTAATCGCACAAATAAAATTTTGATTGTTGGATGAACACGCAATTTTAATTGAGTACTTCAGATCAGTTTGGTAAAATAAAATTTTGGGCTTACATTAAAATTATACAATGTACGTGTGTGCATGTATGTACATATATATGTATGTATGTATGTTGTCCGTTTTATTTCATCTCACAAAATATACATGTATGTATGTAGGAAATATATACAAATATACATGTGTACGTAAATATGTATGTGTGCATATGTATGTACATATATACGCGTATGTTTATAATCAATGTCAATCAAATAATACACTAACTGCACAAGAAAAACATTTTGACACGCAATTGAAAAACTGAATACTTCTAATGATAGTTCGGTTTTTTTGGGTTAATGTGGTCACACTGTTTTGTATTTTTGTCAGATTAATACGTTATTTATAGAAAAAAATTAAAAACCGTTACTTTCTGCACGCAATACAACGCAAGCGAGCAAGTTTCTGGTGTTGTTGCTGTGGCAGCAGCAGTTCAATGTAACGGATTTGTAGAAACAAACAAACGTCAATGCCTTTGATGACAAACGACAAATCGACGCCAACGTCGACGTCAAAGCAATGCAGTCGCGATGTCGACACTAACAGCAACTACAACGACCGCGACCTATGTTGGCTTTGATTTTTACTGTTAGCAGGCGCACAGCAAAACCTGCAGCCCCCAAGTACGTGTGTGTGTGAACGTATGTATGTATGTTCTCTCTTTTTTTAGGCTCTACGCTCAATTGTTGAACTGTTAGTCGTTGTTTTTGGTATTGGGGTTTTTCTAACTTATGGGTGAAAGCATTTAAGTAGAGGAATAACAGAAACACAGCCGTTAACAGTTCTTTGTTGGTGATGGAGAGAGAGAGAGAGAGAGAGAGAGAGAGAGAAGAGAGAGCAATGACGATGACAGTGACAAGTGCAATTGAAAGAAACTAGTCTGCAGATTAACCCATTGCTAGCAATAGGTCATAAAACGAAAGTCTTAACAAATACAAAATAAAGTAACTGATAAATAAAAAAATTTTAAATTATATTTAAGATAAAGTAAAATATATTTTCTTCAATTAAACGATTTGCATTTTAATGAGGAAGCAAATAAGATGAGCAATATACAAATTTAAGTCATGTACATACTCACTTTTGCATGTTTTCGGCAATCAAAAGAAAAAAATACAGCCCGTATGTATTTAGCAAATTTAATTTTGAACCAGTTTGCGTAGCTCTTCTTCGCTCTTGTTGCAATTTTCTATTTTTGCTTCCAATTTATTTTTTTTACGATTTTCTTATGCAAACTTAATTAGTTGCTCTTCATGTTTTCCATCTCGAATTCAGTTTTGTATTTTCATCGCTATATAGTACATGAATGTACATATGTACATACATTAATTTTTTCATTTCACTATTAAATAGCGTTTATGCCATTTTTGCTGCTGCTCTAAGACGACTTTCACCGATTTTGTGCGAATGACGCCAATAGCAACAACAACAATAATGCCAACAACTGCAGATGGCCACATTGAAAAAAAAAACAATTAATTTTGTACACATATCACAAATACGCGTATTTTTTGCTTATACATACATATATATACATATGTACATACATACATATATGTGTAAGTATGTATGTGCATATCTTCATATTTATCTGCTCTTATATATGTATGTAGGTACATAAGCATATATGTATGTATGCATGTGTATGTGTACATATGTATGTATGTATTTCAGATATTGACTTTTGGTATGAGCACAGTTGGTCGACAAATGACGTAATCGGCCAGCATAGCAAAGACAACAAAAATAAAAACGAATAAAATATCAAAAGTTGAAACAAAAGATTGCACCGAAAAATAAAATAAAAATACTTGTATATGTTAACGTGTTTAAATTGTTTGACCTAAAAATAGAGACGATCTGTAAAATTTCTTCTCACGGTAAAGGGTATTTCCCTAGAATGCGTCAATTACATACAAATATATTTATACATATATATTTTGAGATGAGAGATGACAGAAAATGTCAAATCAATATCAGATATGTACATACATACATATGTATGTATGTATTTCTTGTTCATAATCTGAAGCCATTGTTGACAAAAATGTCAAAGAAATATCGTTTAGCGTCGATACGCAAGCATTGCGTTCAAAATATCGCTAGTATCGGTAGTTCTCTCGATGGTTTTCTAATACATACAAACATACGTACATATGTGTGTATGTGGTCAGTACGCAAATAAACGAGATTTGGTCGCGTTGAACGATTTAAATTTCTAATAGTAACAATAAGTCTCGAACACACAATTGTCACCTTTTCGATTCGCATACATTTGTACATATGTACATACATACATGCACACATACTTTGGAATGCTTTTGAAAAATGTATACATACATACATATGTATGTACATACATATAAAAAGTAAAACAAAAAAAGTTACTCCAATTAAATTGAAAAAGATACAACGCATAAATTAATTCACACATGTATACATATACATATGTAGGTATGTATATCTGCACATACATATGTATGTATGTACGTACATTTGTTGGTGTTTTTAAAAGTGATAACGCGCAGGCCAACGAGTATAAGCAACAAACACAAAACGGAAAACAGCAACAAGAATAACGAAAAAAAATTTGCATACACGAAACAGAGCGACGCGACGAGAAAACAAAATACTTATATACATACATACATATATAACATACATTTGCACACATATACACGTGTTTGCATAGAAGTGTGTGTGCATGCCTGCCTGCTTGCGTATAAAAAACACAAAGCGTAGCAAAAATATGGCAAACTACACAAAATAGAAGGCACCCGAGAAAAAAAACACACACACACACACAAAATAGTAAGAGAAAAACTACAATTATGACGGCGTCGACGACTGCGACGCTAACGTTGACGTCGACGACTTCGGCGAGTGCACTGGGCGCGCATTACGCATACGCACAGTGGAACCCATCCAATGCATATGTAAATATTTGATAAAATACTACCTACATATATTGCGACATGAACGACTGCTTAGAAATTCACGTATTAAAAAAGCGTAAGCTAAATTAGTTTGATGATAATTGACCAAAACATTTTGCCTATACACATATAAATAATATATGTATACAAACAGCAAAACCATCAGTGAGATCGAAGAGGATCGATACAGTTATCGATGTAAGTGTGTCAGATATTGAAAAATATTCTTTTTGAATTGCATTTCTTACAAAATTATTTAATAATTGTTGTTAGAAATCAGCTTCTATTAAACTTATAAAAATCAATAATAATTACAATAAAACAATTAAGCGTGATTCCGCAACTTCTGAGTCAGGTGCGGATCGAAAAATCTCGCAATAAAAAACCGAATGGCTGCTGACTCGACTAAGTCGGAAAACGAATTTTATTATAATAATGTGCTTAGCCTAGGGGTGGGCGTGTGTCTTTTTTATGCACACAATCGATACCTCAAATTCATTCGATATCTGCTACATTTCAATTACATTTGTGGGTTTCTTATCATTCAGCTATTTACATAAACCACGAAATATCGGTTGAGTAATTCAATTCTGTTTACAATACTACTAATTATAACAAGGTATTTACATAAATATTCTCCCGGCCATGAGGAATTAATGTAACTTTAACTTATATCAGCTTTCGGCGTCAACATACTCCCGGCCTTGGAAGCTCCTTCCAACAATCATCTCGTCAGTCTGATATCGGTAGTGGGCAAAGCTTGTGTATATTCCGCTTAAACAATCCCGCCTTTGTTTTCACCGTGACGACCCGAACAGCTCCGTCAGCGCCAGGATGAACTTCTTGGATTCGACCCAGTACCCATTGTCCTGGGGGAGTATTGTCTTCTCCAATAAGAACCAAGGTCCCGCGTTGTAGATTGTTGCACGTCGATGCCCATTTTCTTCTTTCTTGCAATAAAGTTAAATACTCCAGCGACCAGCGTCGCCAGAATGAGTGATGCACCGCTACGATTCTCTTCCATCGATTCGTTACTGATAATTTCAGAATATCCTCATCGCACGCTTCGGTCATAGCGTTTAACGGACGTCCGATTAAGAAATGACCTGGCGTTAAGGCTTCCAAGTCATTTGGGTCTGAAGACAATGGACAGAGTGGCCGCGAATTCATAACGGCTTCAGCTTGTGCAATGGCCGTGGCGAGTTCCTCATAGTCGAGCGCCGTTCCATTAAAGCACCGCACCAACAGCTGCTTAGCCACCTTCACAGCGCTTTCCCAAAGCCCTCCAAAATGGGGCGAGCGAGGGGGTATAAAATGAAATTGAACCCCGAGGCTGCTGCATTGGTTTTCGATTCGACGTTTGCCAGTTTCGTTCCACATACGATCAGTCAGCTCTTTTACTTCACGAGCTGCGCCAACAAAATTTGTGGCGTTGTCGCAAAATAGCTCTGCGCTGAGTCCACGGCGCGCAAAAAAACGTTTGAGGGCGGCAATAAATGCATTTGTGCTAAGGTCCGACACGAGCTCCAGATGGCAAGCCTTTGTCAGGAAGCATACAAAGACACACATATACATCTTGGTTGGACGTCGTCCTCTCTGGTGGAAATGCATCCAAAACGGGCCGGCGAAATCCAATCCTGCTCGTTGAAACGGATTCACACCCGTTTGTACTCTGCTCGCTGGCAGCGAGCCCATAATCTGGTTTGCCGCTACTGGGCGCTGGCGAAAGCATGCCAAGCAACTCCGCACTGTCTTGCGAGCTAGCTTTCGAGCATTAATGACCCAGTACCTTTGTCGCACAAAAGCGCATAATGCATGCGCTCCGGCATGCATATTAGTTCGATGTGTGTACTCAAATAAAGCGGTTATAACAATATGATTATTCGGCAATAAAATTGGGTGCTTTGTGTCAAATGGTACATTAGCTTGAGACAACCTGCCACCTACCCGAATAATTTCTATCCCGTCAATTACGTCTAGGAACGGATTGAGCGCTTGTATTTTCGCGGATCGAATAGGCTTGCCATCGTGCAATTTTACGATCTCTTCGTGAAAACTCAAACTTTGCAAATTAAATATTATGTAGTTTAATCCACCCTTTACTTCAGAGGCTGTCAGCGGCTTGGATTTAGCTAATTCAATTTTTGATATGACCCGACGCCAGCGACAAATATAGCCAAACACGCGAGTCAACTTAACAAAATCTCTTGCATATTTACATTTGCTAACGATATCCTCCACAAGCCTTTGGGGACTGGCTACTAATGTGAATTTAGAATTACGTTGCTCGGGAAGTGAATCAGAGCGATTCCAATGCACCGCGGGCCACTGATCTTCTGGCTGCTGCAAGAATTTAGGACCTTTCCACCACAGCGACGAGTTTCTCAATTCGCTTGTATGCAGACCACGAGACACTATGTCTGCTGGGTTAAGTTTCGATTCTATCTTAAACCATTCATCTATACTAGATAATTCGTGGATTAAAGCGACCCTATTTGCAACAAAGGTGGTCCATCGGCTAGAATGAGAGGCAATCCAATTAAGCACGATGGTAGAGTCTGTGAAATACCTGACGCTAGAAACATATCTAGGAACACACTTCTTAACCTTGGCCATCAGCTGGACCAAAAGTCTGGCGCCCTCAAGTTCTAAACGAGGTAGCGATGTGACACGAACTGGTGCTACCTTGGATTTTGCCGCCACCAAATTGACAGATATGGTTCCTAGCTTGTCTATAACCCGAGCGTATATGGCTGCCCCAAAGGCACGGCAGGACGCATCCGAAAATCCATAAAACTCAACCGTGTCTACTTCCCCTGAATTTGGGATGACAGCTCGAGGCAACGAACATTCGTGTATGAGTTTTAACTCGCTACGATATTTTTTCCACTGTATGGCATGACTGGGTGGCAAATCCTCGTCCCAACCCTGCTTCAATAGCCATAACTCTTGCATGAAAACTTTACCTAATATAATAATGGGGCTCAAAAACCCAAGCGGGTCAAATAATTGCGCTAGCTCCGATAATACTACGCGCTTAGTGACCGCGTCCGAGCACTGCGCACCGTAAGCGAATTGGAACTTGTCACTAGTCGACGCCCAACGTATCCCAAGCGTTTTTGCAGCGTCGGTAACTTTAAGTTCCAACGGCTCGGTGCTCTCATCATGAGAGGCAAATTTGAAATTAGAGCGCCATTTATGAAGTTCAAATCGCCCTAACTTTAACAACTCTGTCACTTGCTGTTTTAACTCTTTTAGCTCATTAATGGAGTCAGCCCCGCAGAGCATATCGTCCATGTAAAAGTTGCGCTTCACTGCTTCACTAGCTAAAGGATATTGATGACCAGCCTGCTCAGCTAAATAATATAAGCAGCGAACTGCCAGGAATGGTGCTGAATTTGTACCGTATGTTACAGTTTTCAGCCGCAGCGTCTTTGCAGCTTCAGTACGCTCTTGTCGCCACAAAATACACTGATAATTACAGTCACCAGATTCTACTAAGATTTGTCTATACATCTTTGAGATGTCAGCTGTAAGCGCATACTTGTAGAACCGGAAACGAGTGAGTATATCGAATAAGTCCGGCTGCAAGGTAGGGCCTACTAACATGATATCGTTCAATGAGAGCCCATTGCTCGTCTTGCATGAAGCATCAAATACGACTCTTAATTTAGTCGTTGAGCTTTCTGGTCGAATTACTGGGTGGTGAGGCATCACGTATCTAACATTCTGTACCTGTTCAGACCCTACCTCCTCTAAATGATCCAGCATCCGATATTCTTCTATGAATTCTGTGTAACTCCTTTTGAGTTCTGGATTACGAATGAGTTTTCTTTCAAGGTTCAAAAACCTGGTGAGAGCAATACTATAAGACTCTCCTAATTCCTCTTTGGGTACTTTAAAGGGCAGACGTACCACGAACCTATTAGCAGCTGTCCTTCTCACAGATGAGACAAACTGCGTTTCGCACGTCTGCTCAGCCTCTGTATACCTGTTTTCTGGCTGTGAAATCTCTTCACACTGCCAAAATCTTTGCACCAACTTGTGCAGTTTTCTTGTATCCTCTTGGTCGGAACTTGGTACTCGACTAACAATTAATGCATTCCTTTCACTTGTTATACATTCACCTACAACAATCCAACCTAAAAGAGATTTTTGAAGTAATGGCTTATTGATGCCCATTTTAATTTGGCCTGCTACGATAAGCTTAAAGAACAAATTAACTCCGAGCAGCATAGATATTTCATTAGCTGAATCGAAGAAGGGATCTGCCAGCTTTACTTTTGATGGCACGAAAAAGCCTTCTGCTGACGCGCTTGTTGCCGGATTGTATCGCGTTATTTCCTGCAATACACTGAACTTGTCTGTAGCTACGAAATTTGTTGCCCTGGACTTGATGGTAGTCTGAACTTCACCTAAAATTCTCGACTTGGCATTTCCTATTCCATTTAGCGAGTATTGAACATCCTTTATATTGAGTTTCAACTGTGATGCCAAACTGGTGGTTATGAAATTCAACTGACTACCTGAATCTAGTACGCATCTGCATTGCGAATATTTACCGTTCGAATTCTGCACAAGAACTACCGCCGTTGCCAAAAAGCTTGTTGTCCGACTTGGCAGTATCGCACTATGCAGTGAGCTAGGATTAGCTTGCCTACTGACAGGACAATTGCTTGAACCTTCCACTTCCATTGCTGATCTATGAAGCAACTCATGATGTGGCTTGTTACAAGCCGAACAACGCTGCGCGCTGCAATCCTTTGTTTGATGACGCTTACTAAAACAGACAAGACATATTCCAAATTTTTTAACTTCGTAATATCTTTGCAACGGTGACAATGACTTAAACTTTGGGCACATCTTCAAGTGATGTGAACTCGAACAACTATAACACAAGTTAGTTGCAGTATTTCCCAATGCAGCAGTTAGACTGGCCCTTTTGCTGTCACCCTTAGCATTTGATTTGGCAATGACTGCCTTTCTGACTTCTCGCCCGGCTAGATTAATTCCTCTATTGCATAAGAATTGTGCTAGCAGCTGCCAAGAAGGTAGCTTGGCGCAATCATATTCGCTCTCCCACTTCTCTAGTGTTTCATCGTCCAACTTGCTACGAACCAAATGGAACACGAGGGCCTCAAGAATTTCCCCTTCATTGCCTAGAGATCGAAGGGCTACAAGTTGCGAATTCACTGCATCTACCAAACTGCCAAGTGACTCTGCGTCTGCATTCTTAAGTCGACGAATATTGAATAGCTCACTCACATGCGATTGTACGATAATAGCTTTATTTTCAAAACGATCCCTAAGTAACTGTAAGGCCTTCCTATAGTTGACTGCAGATAATTCCAAGCACTCTATAGTTCTCAATGGGACAGCGCTTAGACATGACTTCAAATGAATAAACTTTGACAGCTCATCAATGTCATGGTCTGCCTCAATCAAGGTAGTGAATGCGTTGTACCAACTAGTCCACTCTGTATATTTGCCAGAGAATTCTGGCAGCTTCAACATTGGCAATTTACCTACTCGGGAAACTGCAGCACCATTTAGCAATGTTGAATTGGCCGATGGATCTGTTCCGATTACTGAATGACGCCCCCTTTGTGTCAAGTAGCTTAAAATCTTCGCCTTTATATCACAATACATATCTTCTATAACTTGACGTGTTTCGTATTGGCTGGCATCTTCAATTTTTGTCTCAACTTGGCTCTGGATGTCACATAATTGCGTGAAAATTGATTCAACTAAGCTCAAGCGCGCCTCTAGCTCTGCTGCAGTCATTGACTGGCAATTGTTTATAACATAATCTTTATTACGATTAAGAGAATTCATTAAACTTTCGCGCGAAGAATAAAACTCCATTTCTTTCATGTTTCTTTTTGGAGCCATTTTATTTTTATTCAATTACCCCTCAATAATAATATTAGTTAATATTAATATTATTATAATCTTAACCAGATTAATAGGAGCCACTAGAAATTTTGACTTTTTTATACAAACAAACAACGAATTAGTCCCACTGTACCAACTGTACGAGCCTACAGACGAATATATGACCAAATTTAATGTTCGTGTAGGTATGTATTTATGTGCGTTTAATTATACCGCAACAACTCCTATCTACGCCAACAACAACAACAATGTTTGAGAGCAGCAACAGCTTCAGCTATTCTAACTGTTTCTCAAGAAGAACAGCAAGAATTTCGTTGCCTTACTTTTGATGCTCTCAGTACATGTGCACTCAAAATCAATTCAAGGTTAAACGGTAAGTAGTTGCCGCTTGCATTTACGTATACATACATATATATGTATGTATGTACAGCATATGTATATGAATTAACCTCTTCGCGAATTTTTCACAACACGTGTCTCACCAATGTACCACTGTATGCCGCGTAAATATTTCAATTATATTTTACTTACAATATTTGAATAGTCAACACATCAAACTGAGAATATGTATATGCCGTGCAAAAATACTAGGAGCACCATGCAGAAAACTACTCACAGTCGAATGTTAGAGTTGAAGCTGCACTCCAATGTGCACCAGCATCCAATCTCCAGGCTGATATATGTCCAAATATGTTAGAGCTCCAACAATGAGCTCCAATCGGGTTAGAACTTTGTCCAAGAAGTCCCTGCTCGGGCGCCAAATGATTCCGCAACTTCTGAGTCAGGTGCGGATCGAAAAATCTCGCAATAAAAAACCGAATGGCTGCTGACTCGACTAAGTCGGAAAACGAATTTTATTATAATAATGTGCTTAGCCTAGGGGTGGGCGTGTGTCTTTTTTATGCACACAATCGATACCTCAAATTCATTCGATATCTGCTACATTTCAATTACATTTGTGGGTTTCTTATCATTCAGCTATTTACATAAACCACGAAATATCGGTTGAGTAATTCAATTCTGTTTACAATACTACTAATTATAACAAGGTATTTACATAAATATTCTCCCGGCCATGAGGAATTAATGTAACTTTAACTTATATCAGCTTTCGGCGTCAACAAAGCGTACAGCGAATAAATGAAGTTGTCGCAGTTTTGTTTAACTAAATTGAACATTGAAGCCACTGTGCGTCTGTCTAATTATGCTGCCGTACATAGATTTGCCAGCTACAACAATAATAGGCAGCAGCTACACCAACAACAATAGCCATTACACATTCTCAGCTGCTGCGGCCGTTGCTTCGACGATGACGGCGACGACGATGGCGTCGAGACAACGAAACGAGCGACCCACTCACCGAACGACCGAAGCGACGACGACCCACGATAGCAGAAACGTACACATACATATATACAAAAATGTACAACTAGCGAGTGAGTTGTAAAAACTAGCGACGAACGAGTTGTTTTTGTTATTGTAGTTGTTGCTGTTGCTGTTACTCTCGCAGTTTCTTGCTGCGCTTTTGGGTGTGGGTTGTATAAATTTTACACATACACCCAGACGCACACTGACTCGCTCATAGAGCAAGTGCATGTGTTCGTACATGTCTCGCCGTTTGCACAAAATACATTTTCAGAAAAAAAAACAATTTAATTTACTATTGACGTTTTTTCTTTTGTTGTTGTTGCTGCACTGGTTGATGTTGTTGTTGTTTGTGTAGCACAAAACAAAAACAGAAAGGAAGGCGCAAAAGGCAAGGCATAAAATGGAGAATGAAAAAACCAAATTAAAAAAAAAACGAAAACAGACGTTGACGACGACGTCGCCGTTTGTTGTTGGCGTTGTTGTGGCTGCTTGCTTGCTGCTGCTGTTGTTGTTGTTGTTGTCGTTCGGGTACCCGCGTGTATTTTTCGTTTCAGTTATTATTGAAGCACAAACAAATTGAGACTAAAAATGCGGCGTGAGATTTGATTGTGAGTAAGCGCAAGCGTTGAACGCGCGTCGCTGCGACGGAGCAGCGCGGTCGACAGCGCAAGCCACCACACACATTTAAAATAAAAGGAAGGCACACAGCAACAACAACTTGCAGCAGCAGCAGCCGCACACAAAAGTAAAAGCCAAAGAATGGAATGAGTGAAATAAAATGAAATGGTGGAAATGAATAATAAAAAAAAGCAAAAAAAAAAATAACAAAAGCTTAGCAACTGCCTGACGTTGGCGACGGAGTTTGAAGCCCCCCCCCCAACCATCCCATTGCATAGGCAACCACCATTTTGTATGTATGTATTTGCGTGTATGTCTATGCCTGTGTGTGTGTGTACGACAGTTAGTCAGTCAGTCAAGCAGTTTGTCAATATTAACGAGGCGCTGTCTAAAGTTCAAATGGGCAACGTCGACAGCGACAGTAGCAGCGGCAGCGGCAGCGACGCTGACGTCGCAATATGCAAGGGCTTTTGCCCTAGGAACTCATAAAAAACCCACAGATCCCTGCTCAATTCCTGGTCCCAGGCATTTCAAAAAGCAAACAGATGCAAAAAGTAAATACATACATATGTATGTATGTCTGTATGTATGTTGCAGAGCACTTCAAAGGGCAAAGCTATTATGTCGCCAGTGGCAAGAAATTGATCTAAAAATGAGGTTTTGACCACCAGGAGCTGCAGATAATCTGTCGAATGGGAACACTACCCATAAATGGAATAGACAAATATATTATACATATGTATGTACCTTCAAAAATCCTTCCGAAATGTTGAATACAGCGGTCCCAAAAGATTCAAATACTAATATTACAATATCGTCTTAACCGAACAGTGTCATCGAGAGTAGTAGAGTTTTGAAATATAGTATAGTATTGTCAATAAGCGCTAGTGGGTGTGCTTATTATTTATAAACTTTACAACGCGATTATTTATTTCGGATCTTCAATGTAGACTGAAAATTGTAAAAATTGCTGAGACACAGTTGCTTAAACGGATGGTTGTTGGTTCGATTATTGGCCAGACAGCAATCTAAACATTTTATTCTTGGAAACAGTTCTATTCTCAGAGCTCGCAATTGCCGTATAAATGAATAATATGCAAATATCTACAAACATACATACTATATATTTATATACAAATGTGCACATACATATGTATGTACATATGTACATATGTGTTGGTGCCTCGTGTCAACAAAACAATAACAAAAACAAAAACAACGGCAACAATAACACAACAAACACATACACAGCTCTAGCATTTTCATACTTGTATACTGTATGAGGTAATCTGCGTTTTGTTTATCACAAAAATTTTAAAAGCCACAAGAAATAAAAATAAAAAGAATGGGGGGAGGAAAAAGAATAAAGAAACACCAAAACCAAAACCCAAAAAAATTAACGCATCTGACTGAAAAGCTATTTGTTGTAGTTGTTATTATTGTTATTTATTATTTGAGCACACACTCTTAGCAACAATAATTTCGAATGTTTTTGTTGAAATTCTTGATTCTTCTGCTGCCTTCCCTGCTGTTTCTCCTGCTTCTCCGCCTGCCTCTTCTTATACTTCTACTCTAGAGACAAGAGTCAAGCAAATGGAATTTTTATGAACAAACACGCAGCTGCAAAAAAGTGCAGCCACCAGCGATTTATTTATAGCATTGCTCATAAGAAAGTCTGGGAAATAATTAGTCAGTCAGTCATTCGGAAGCGATTTGATTTGTCAACTATTGTTTTCATATACATATTCATACATATATGTATGTATGTGCATATGTATATATTAAATTTGATGTACATACATATGTATAAAGGGTTTGATCACCTTGCCCGAACGAGCATTTGAGAAGCTTCCGGTTTCTTCAAGTGTATTTCTTTATACACATTTCCATATTGCAACTAAGTTGAAACAAAGTTAAGTTTTAGATTTTAAAAAGTAAGAAGGTTAGTATAATAATATTATTATAGATATTTGGATATATACATATATAGATAACAATCTACAGAGCAGGAGTATAAAAACATCACTAATTTATCGCTGTATTCTCTGTTTATCAGCGAAATATTGTTATCGCACTGTCTAAGAAGTAGATGATGGAATGCTGCTGGGAAGCGAGTTCCTGATTTGTAGAGGGGTAAGGGAGTTAGAGGTACAGAAATATATAGAGTTAGAGGTACAGAAATAACATCACTAGTTCAGATGATGTACATAGTACTATCGAAATAGTGACTGTCTAAGAAGTTGAAGATGGGATGATGGGAATGGGCAGCGATTTAGGGGGGCTCGAGTGGTTTCTACATCATTAGTTGAGAAGAATGGTTATCGCTGAATTGTCTGTATTATCGGAATATTTCTATGATCGGATGATGTGAGTTTCTGTAATGTGGCGGTGTTAAGGGATTACTGGTGGCGGCCACATTTGTTGGCCTTGGCTCATTTTATTTGACGCCTTCAAGTTTGACGCATCTAGCTGTTGTTGTTGTTGCCATTGCTGTTGATTTATTTTCTTGCTTATTTATTGATTTGAATTTTTGTATTTGTGCGCCTATTTCTTTCCTTTTCGTTTCGTTTTTGTTATTTCTCGCCACTTGCCTATTTTTGCCCATTTATTGATTTGTATTGTGTGTTTTGTGTTTTTTTTTTTTTTCTATTTTTCTATTTTATGCGATTTGTTTGCTTTAGCATTGCAGTTTGAATTGTCTGCTGATGTAATTGTTGTTGCCATTGTTTTTTTTAGTTTTGTTTTCGCTTGAACATTGTTTTATGAATATCAAAATGAAGAGGAAGAGTGACGGAGTGAACTTTTGACGTCACAGCACAACTGGCATGATCGAAAATACGAGTATGTATAGTACGAAATGGCTCGTCTATATAGAGATGTGTGCATACCTGCCTACCAACCGACTTGCCTGCCTACATACTATATATTCGTTGTATGTGTCTTATACATAAACCTATGTGCATGCATTTATATACGTAGTTCTATATACATACTTGTACATACATATGTATGCTAAGAGTATAGTGCTATTCTGGCTCGCTATCTGACACATAAAGCGCAAACACAAACAATTTATTGTTACCCTGACAGTATCACAGACCGATTCACTATGTACATACGTAAGTATGTATGTATGTACTTGTAGTTGGATTTATATAGTATGTAGGTATATAAGTAAGTAGTACAACCGATCCAAATTACCGAACCACCCCACACATTTTTCGAATTGTTTGTTTTTTGCTTGCTAGATGGCTAGCTGGCGCTGCTTTTGTTTTTATTGCCATTGAAATAATTCTACTTAAAATTGTTTAGATAAGATTTAATTAGCGCACAACAACAACAGCAACAACACCAACAATAAATGAACGCAGTGGAAATAAGAAAGAGCCGAAAACCACAAATAAATGTAAGTATACTTATACATACATACTCGTACGTCTATATATATAAATATGTATGTATGTATGTATGTATGTATGTATGTATATGTTTATAGCTAAAGCTACTGATTTGTTATTATTGCTGTTGTTTCCCTTTTCACTTCCTCCCCTCACACAAAACTCACTTCAAAGTTCGCAAAACTTAAATATGTTGAGAGCCAAAATAATAATAAATAAAATTGTGCCGGGGTGGGGGAGGCACGCTATTTGCTCCGATTACCATCACTAATGTCCACAACAACAAGAACTTTTGTGTATTATGTGTTAGACAGATGCCTTAAGCAACAAACTCTTGATTAAATAGATCTGCGTCCCCAGACACATATACGAGTAATAAGGATTAATAAAATATAATAAATAGTATAAACTTTTTGAAAATCTTTTTGAATTCATTAAAATCTATTTATCGCTCTCCTGTAAAATTATTATAAATTCAACTTCAATGGAAATATTTAACGGAGATACAAGTTACTTATTAATCTTAATTGGCATTTCGTATTATTGTCATAATTACAATTAAAAAACAAAAAGAAGGAACGAGGAAACCCACAACGGAAATAAAATGTGCCAAACAAAAATCAAAATGCTGAGAACAACAACAATCTCTAGGGGGAAACATTGTGTTTATAATTAGCAAACAGACAATTATAAAGAATTAACAAAATGCTAAGAGAACAGCCACAACTAATTAATAAAAACGATAAATAGAATATCAAGTCCAAGCTGGAAACTTGAAAACTGAAAAAAACTTCGCCACGTGTATGCAAAGAATTCAGCGCGATAAGATAAATAAATAAACTAAGCAAATACTTATATGTATGCAAAGAACAAAAATCACAACAGTGTGACTTTAAATCGGACAGATCTGACACAAGCTTTAAGACTTCATTACAGGTCACGTAAATAAATTGCACAAAAATTTCACAAGCATCTCAGGAATACAATGTTACTCCAAAGCAAATTCTACACACAAATATTAAAAGAACCTAACTGTAAAGAAACAAAAATATGTGCACAATTCATTTGTCAGTCAACTTTGAACGAAATCATTGCATAGGACAACAAAGTTTTGACAAACTCATGTCAATTCTGTTTCTTGTTCGAAATACAAAATAGGTTTTCATAGGAATGTCATAAAAATTCTAGAGCTAAGGCAGTTATTGGTATTATTTCCTGTAGATCTAGATTTAAAATAACGCAAAATAAGTCCAAGAATTATTTTAATGAACAAATTCACTTGACATATATTTTATAGTTCTATCAATCAATTATTCAAA